AATGATCTCATAAGATTTATTGTGTCATATATTTGGTGAGAATAATTATTACCATATTTCAAAATAACATTTTTGAATATGAAATTCATTAAAAATATCTTTTTCTTTGTTTTAAAATTTTATTATTTTAAATTGATATTAATTATTACTGATAGTTTAAAGAATCATAATTATAGTTTATGTAAGCTATAACAGTGGTAGAACCCGCTTTAACATCTTCGCACGAATTGTCCCGGCTCGCCCGGTGAAATACCACGACCACACATAAAACAGGCGTGAAGTGGAAGCAATTCCGCGTTTCGTCTGATGAGTGTGCGTCCCGACGGCTAATTTAGTCCTCTTTCCCTTCTTATAACGAAAAGATGGGAAGTGGAAGTGGACTTTCCGGATGAGTGGATGCATAGGAAGGGAAAATATTTTCTTTCCGTGCATCCACTCCTCCGTCGATTAAAGGTAGGCAACGCATATGCAATTGCGTATGTCTATGGGCAACTGTCACTTCGTTATTTCAGGTGGCCGCTCACTCGTTTGCCACAAACTCCTACAAATTACTAACTAGTAGTTAGTTATTTTAATTTGATATAGTTACTGCTAGTCTAATACCGTTTTGTTAAAGATTATTCCTATTTCTCAGCTTTTATTATCGTTCCAATTATCAATTATAATACATTGATTACGATAAATATCAAATTATCTTTTTCTATAAACAGATATCGCAATGAAGGTTTCTACCTATATAACTTTAGTAATTATAAATAGACGAATAGTTTACAAACGTCAATAAAAAAAACTAAAAAAACTGTGTGTAATTAAAACAGACCTTTTTTGTACGATAACGAACCGACAGCAAATTGAATAAAGTTTATTAATAAACCACGATAAAACATCTACAATTAACTGGGTAATAAAAGCAAGGAGGTTTTAACGTGGCTACTACTGAGCATATTAAAAATAATAGAAAATATGTGATACCACGTTTACGATATAATCTGTGTTAATTGAGTACATTTAAAATCTTGCTTACTAATATTATAAATGCGAATGTTTAAATGGATGGATGTTAGAAAGTACCTTCATAACGGCTACATGGATCTCGTTGTTTGGCATAGATGTAGAACATAGTCCGGAAGAACACATAGGCTACTAATTGAGTTGTTAATTCCGCGGACAGTCGCAAGCGATTGCAAGTTGAGTTCTATATTTAGCTCTTAGGATTATTGATTAATTTCGCTAGGAATGTACATCTGACGAATGTAACCCTTTTTTAATTTTAGCAAATTGCATAAAAACTTGCAAATAACTGCGTCTAATGCAGGCACGTTTAATTTCCACCTAAAGAGTGCTAAAAGCGGCATAATATATAAAGATAGCGACACACAAAGATCTTTTTATAATAATATTTACAAGAAAAACAAAGAAATACAAAGAAAAATAATTTCTTATGATTTTTTATTATAATAACATGATAGAATCGGTTTTTGTTCTAGTAAATACTACGTTATTTTAGGTGTGCAGTTATTAAAATGTCTAAATAAATAATTTAAAAGCATAATCAAGTTTATTCGTATTCCTTACCGATGGTTTCTAAAACCAAAGCCTATGTATAAATCGTATCATGACCTCTGTCATTAATATTTGACAAAACGGAGATAACAATATATTTAAAACGGGATGTTTGATCTTAGAAACCTACAATTAATGATGCTATTTTATTTTAAACAGCATAAATGAAACTTTTTACTTAGTTTTAAAATTTGCTAAAGAAATATAAAAAATGTAATATTCTCCCACTCATTGTGCCGATGCGGCGTAACAGAGCGGCTATCAATAAGACAAACAAACAAAAGTATTAAGTTACTAATGCATTGTGAAATACCTACCACAGGACTGACGTTTTAACTTTCAATATAGAGACGTATCTTTTGTCTTTGCGGTTTAACGGCCTTCACAGATGACTCAAAGTTATACGCGAATTGACGCCACTTCTTATGAAATTCTGTCAATATTTTGTAAATATTGTACGGTGGTATGAAATGAAAAATTTTACATTTTTTTTTGTCAGAGCTAAATGTGCTTGTTTTGGCATTTGCCAGTTTTGTTGGAAGGTTGAAGTAATAAAACCATTTATCCTGTTATTAATTTTACTAATATTATAAATGCGATTGTTTAGATGGATGGTTGTTTGTTTGAAGGTATCTCCGGAACGCCTTAACGGATCTCTGCGTAATTTGGCAAACATGTAGCACATAGTCTGGAAGAACACATAAGCTATTATACTTATAAAGTTCCTTTTAATTCCACACGGACGGAGTCGCGGGCGACAGCTGGTTCAATATAAAACGTCGTTAAAAATAATGTTACGTTTAAAAATGGCACGATTTAAGTCATTCTTTCGCGACAGCAATATTGTATAGCCGTCAACTAATATGTCAACCGCAGTAGTTACAGTAAACGTTGGCTACATCAATGGAAGCTTACCTTTAAACGTTTTTTTCGATTAATTTGATGTCAAAATATGCGGAGCGGCTGCCAAGTCGCAATTCTGCGCAAATTATAGCCGCTCCAAACTCCAGGATCATTACGTCCTGAATTTATATTGAAAAAGGAATAAAATATTATATACTATTTGTAATTCATAGCTTTATACGGGTCTGTTTGTTAGTATTTTTATTTAAATATATTATAAGATGGCACTAAGCCTAAATTCGCAGAAATAGCGAAGCCGCGCCCGAACTGCCGATAGACATCAGTAATTACAGATTCATTGCCTACTATTAACCGAAGGAATAGAGGTCGCACAGAAAGTGGATATTTCACCTTTCTACGCGTCCCTTCTTTTTCTCTTCACATCCTTTCCGTTCCTTGTGTTCAAAAATTTGCAAATTTAATTTAACTGCCGGAGTTTTTAATTACATGAAGTTGTCTTTTTTCCGAAAGAACTCTGGTTTAGTAGTAAGTTATATTGACGGACATGTAGATGTTTACTTATATCTATAGATAAACAAACGGACACGTCTGTCGGTAGCTTATCTGTCATAATAAACATGTACAACATGACAACTATTTGTGTTATTACTTTATCTGTGATGTCTAGCCAAAGCGTCTGTTCCATTAACAATAATCAAATATTATCTAAAGTAAATTACAAAGTCAACAAAAAAATATGATTCTATCATGTTACAGTCTAGTGGTAGACGCCAGCAACAATATATGTTGGACGAATTGGCCCGGCTAGCGCGGTGCAATATCATTAACACAGAAGACAGGCGAGAAATGGAAGTAATTCCACGATTCGTCTGATGAGTGCGGGTTCCGGGCCAAATTTTACTCCTCCTTCCCTTCCCAGACTTTTCTGATAAGGAAAGGACTGGATGCGTAAGAAATGTCTTCTTTCCGATTGTCTCCACCTCCGACGACAACGTGATGACTTTACAACTTGAATGAACATGAATAGAACGCTACCTCATATTGGAAATTCAGTCAAGCTGCGTACACTTACTACTTTAGAATTACAAATATACTTTTATATATGTGAAGAACATTCCCCTATGAATAAACTTCCCTTGACCATAATAAGATACAGTCTTTGCGGCTGCTTAAGGGTTAACATTGGTATAAACCCTTTCTAAATTATTTGGTTTCGTACCGTATCTTTTGGTATTTCAATCTGAAGACAAATTAATTTCGCTTTAGCTCAGTGATGTCAATTTGAAATTCCGCCTGTAATAGGATCTGTTAAGCATTAGCGACTTCACAAACGACGGACTGTTTCATGACCAGAAACTAATGACCTATTTAGAAATTTTCATTACAACTTCGTCTATCTAACAATTTATAGTGAGGGGTGAAGATATATTTGTTAATGTTGTGATTTTTCTAAACAGACAAGTTGATGGATAGTACAAAAAATCCCTTTGATAGACATGAAAACGAAAATCAGATTTTTTTAAATTCAGAAAATAATTTTCAATTGAAATTATAAAATCATGTTTTTTTTTAAAGTGCAGCTTTAATAGTAATATGTTATTATTAGCATAAAAAAAACCTTTTTTTTTTAGATTTATAAAATCTGTAACTTTTCAGTTTAAATAAATTTTCGGTGTGACTATTAATTTATGTAAGTTTTTTTATTCTTTTTTTTAATTGAGCGGCAGCTCAGGATGATTGCTTTATCATTCCAAGAAACCAAAGATAATTTTTACGGCAACACGGCATCAAGTGATACCTACGTACGACATTAATTAGCCCGTATTTGATCTATAATGAGATGAAATTGTGATGTGACCTGTTAATTATCTACTTTGAACAGGCTCGTGCCAATGTTACGAAGTTTATTATATTAGATTACACGTTGAATAAACTTTAATACAAGTTGAGAAATGATGATGACAAGATATTAAAAGTGTAATATGGTTTTTATAAAAAAATCTGTTAACTAAGTTCTTAGTAACCTTTGTTCAAGACAATATCAGAATTAATGCATTGTAATAATTATTTGATTATATTATCGTATCACATTATTAACGCTTAGAACTAAACTGTTATATATTAAATAAAACTTTCAGTTAAAATGGAGCAATTATCATAATTTAGTCAGCTGCGTGCATAATATCGTACAAAAAGCTTCAACTCCGAGCTTTTTGTAAGCTTAGTCTGTGGTATTCGTCATTTTGTAAGACCCAATGGATGCGTTCGTAAGAAATAAACAAGTGTCTATGGATTTTTATTTGTAAATATATTTAGCAAATATATAAAATGCAATCATACTGCTAAAGTACAAAGAGTTTTATTAAAAAATAAATAATAAGGTAAGTTTAATATTAGTGTAAACAAAAATTGTAGCGTTATTTTCGGTTCGGTCTTTCAAAATGGCGTCACGCTAAAAGTTCGAGTAGTTGGAACGCGACCGTAACTGGCCCAGGGTGTGAGGCGTCCGGAGGGGAGGGGAAGAGCCGCATGCGTACCGAGGGCTGAGCTGCATTCCAGTAGTTCGGCCGACCGCCGCGCGGCGTTACGTGTATTCCCGCTGTTTGCGACGCCCGCTCTTACCACAAAGAACGCTTCAGTATTGTAAAAAATCTGTGATGTATTGATTAATTCCAACATTTTACCAACACAAAAACCGTCGGCGAACTAAATTGGACTTGATTTGGACACGATGTGCGTTGTTTAAGTGAGCTTCTCTAGCGTTTTACTGTGGGCCACGTCCTATGGAATTCCACATTTATCGATGAATAGAATCTAGTGTGTGGACCGAACATGGTGGACTTTACGGTGCGATGTTGAATGCGTACGGATTGTTAGTGTTTTCTGTGTTAAATTCCTATATTTTCTAGTGTAAATTTGTGAATTTTGTGACTATAAATATGGATTGGTATGCGAATGCTTAAAACGCTACCCAGGAGGGACACAGTTTACGTCGGATAATGAGAGTTGGGGAACGATAAACAGTAAGAATGGTATCGTTCGGCTACTTCGGGCTCCGGCAGGCCCCGTGGACACTTCTTGTCCTCATCTTTTTCGTCGAAAGCGTAATGGGGAATTATGCTAAATCTTTCTATATACATTGGAACACAACAAACAGTATATTCAGAATAGACAATACCGATCATGTATTCGATCTAAATAAAGGAAATGCACAGTTTGAATACGACCAAGTAAACATAATATGTCCCGTTTACGCTCCGGATACATTCGAAGAGGACATGGAAAAGTATATAATATATAATGTAAGTAAAGAAGAATATGATTCGTGTCGAATAACGAATCCAAATCCACGGATTATAGCAATATGCGATAAGCCGAATAAGTTGATGTTTTTCACCATTACCTTCCGGCCGTTCACACCGCAACCCGGCGGTTTAGAATTTCTACCGGGGAAGGATTATTATTTTATATCAACGTCCAGTAAAGATGATTTACATAGAAGAATCGGTGGCCGTTGCCTAAGTCATAACATGAAGTTAGTGTTTCGGGTGTGCTGTAAGCCGGAGGAACAGTCACCCGTGCCGCCACCGCAGCCTACCCTGCCGCCTCCGCCGCCGCCACCTACTGCCCCGCCGACGACCACTACAACGACGACCGTCAAACCGGTCACTAAAAAGACGCACAAATACGATAAGACACCTAACGAAGTGGTCAAGAGCGAGGAGCTTTCGTATTCGCGCGGCGCGGCGTTGGCTTCGTCCCTCGCCCTCGCTCTGGCGGCGAGCGCGGTGCTGGCTCCCCTGGCTCGGTGAATGTGCGCCAAGGCGGCGCGGCCCCCGCGTCCCGACCTGCTGGCGAAGCCCTGCTCAGCTCACAGCACACAGACTCTACAATCTCTCCACTTGCGCCCGGACACTCTGGTCTTCACGTAAATCAGTGTAAGATAGTGCTGTAAACTATGTGGTGAACTGTAGATTAGTGACGGGTCGTTTAGTGACGTCCTTGTGATCTATTAATGTGTGTAAAGGGATTTCCTTTTAGTACTTAGTGCTGTGTGAGAGCCGGACTTCGGGTTTGGTGTCGGGGGTCGATGCCCGTGAAGTGCAGTGACTTTGTAGATTTGTGCAAAATTCCTAGGTATTTCTATATAAAGTTCCAATGACTTTAGTCCTTAAGGAACCTAAGTCGAGAGCCTAATTTTTACTATTGTAATTAAAGTATATTGGGCCTACTGAATAATCGAACTAATATATTATATACTTCAAGATCGATTCGTAGAAACGCAAGCTGCGAACGTATATATATATAAAAATGTTAACATGTGTAATGGTAAAATAGATTTCTTAAACCATTAGGAGTTAAACAATTTTTATATTTTCACTTATGCAATGAAGGATATTTGACTAAGAATTAGAACGCAAAATACAGATATTATAGGAGAAATCTTATATAGTTGACGAGAATTAGTTAGATCTTAATTTAGTTGAAAAGACAGTTTTTTTTATTATTTTTCATGCGACGTATATTTAGAATTTATTTATATGAAAAAAAAATGCTCGGACAAGTTAAGAATCTTGTCCAGAAAATACTGTGATTTTGGTTTTATTTAGGTGGTAATTTTTCTCTTCATGCTTTCATTATGTGATATGAAACTAATTGTATTTAATGTAAAAGCATTTTTTTTCATGTAATATTATTTCATTTTTCGACTGATTTTCGCGAATACGCTTGTTCTTAATATAATTTTATAATGCATTTTTAAGGGCCTATTCACAATCGCAAATATAATTTAAGAGATAATAACTATTGAATTGAGGGTTTGGATGGACCGAATACTTGTAATATAGAAATCTGATGATTTCTATATTGTTATTTAAAAAAATCCCAGTTACCATCATTGGGATAATGTTAATGGATTTTTAATATGAATTCATAATAAATATTTTCCATCGTCTTTGAAAGACATTATTATAAGCACAGGCTTCATTGCCATTCGCTGAATGTGTTTAATGAACTTGCACATTGTAATGAAATAGTCAAATAGTTGAATAGTAGTTGAAATAGACCGGTTTTCAGTTAGACATACGCATTTAGTGACAGGAATATAATTTTAAATAGTACTTAAGAATCAAATGCTTGAGTTTCCTATTATATTGAAACAATAACTGTGCTAAGAGAAATAGTAAACGTAAACTATTAAAAATGAATCCATGTCTTTAAAAATATTGACGCTGAACGAGAAATGCATTTATAACTGATCTATTCTTATTTCGAAAACCAGAAATCAAATAAATCTGAATCGCAAAGCCTAGAACTATGTCTTATATTGTTTAAATGATTATTGTAGTACAAACATAAATTTACGTCTTTTAGGTCGTCAAATTTCCCTCTTTCGCTAAACTTTTCAGTCTTATACTTATTCATCTAGTTTGGTACTTTTAGTACATCTATTTTATAATATAATTATTTAACTGATTCTCAACAACAAAGGGATCCGTTACGAAACAAAAAGTTCTTAGTTTAAAGGACTTAAGTTTCGGTACTAACCTATGTAAATTTATTCCCTGGGAAGAAAGGAAAAATTCTACTCTAAAATAAAACTAAAGGAAAAAATTTTATGCTTCTCGAGTCGAAGGGGAATTAATGCTAATGAATTCGTAACTGATTCAAGGTAGCCAAATGCGCAAGTTTCAATTGAAAGATAAAGAATAAGAAAATGTACGGACAATTTTTAAAACAATATAACTTTAGAGATCTGGATCATTTTAAAGATATACCTCTGCTAATTGTACAACAAGATTACTAGACATGGAATTATGTATAAAATGCACTTTCTCGTAATGACAAGTACACATTTCATGGACCAAAACTCATTAGAATTTTATTGATAAAATTTTGGTCCTAGTGAAAATCTAATAATCTTCCTTAATACATTTTCTGTCTTTGATTAGTTTAACTGACCTGATATTACAATGAACTGAGATACTGTCTCGTTCCTCATAATCTATAAATGTTTGAAGAAATCTACAAAAATCATTCATTGTTGAATTTATGCTTTTCCATCGAAAACACAGAATTTTACTAAATAAATAATGTTCAATATAAGACGTAACATTGTAAAACAATTTTTTATTGATGTCAAAAACAACAATTATAAATTAAAAACGTGAATAAATATAATCCAAGATATTCTTTTCAAATTAATTACAACCTAATATCGATGCAAAATATACAAAGATGCAGATAATTTAAGAACTTTCATATGGAAATTGGACTTATCGGTTGCAGACCTTTACCGCTTTTCACCAATAAAAAAATAACAATTTCTAAAGCAGCGATAACATATACCTTAATTTTCAAGACATACAAGAGTATTTTATTCATGCAATTGCATTTGTTAATATTAAAAGCAAACTTCTCTCTTTCTACCTACTCAATACTCTATCCAAAAACACCAGGTATATTCAACCCATTACATTTGTACTTTTTCTGCTATTATTTGAAAGTGAAAGTCTGTGACAAAATTATGCATTGTCTTCAAAACAATGTTATTTACTAAATAAATCAGTTTTTTTAGCACCTATTGAGTTGGTTGGCTCAACAAAGGTATAGCAGGGAGTGCTTCTATTTTTATTTTAACTAAACAGTTTAAATGTCTGCTTAAGCGTTTCTTGGTACGAGCGTTGTTTAAAGTTGTCTTTTGGCTATTTTGAGATTACTAACGCGAAGGGATTGTGAAGGGATAATCATCCTAACCTGGCCGTGATAAATTCAGGGACGTGTTTCTTTACTGCATGTTTGGGGGCATTAGTTAATCCATAGGATAAAAGATAAATAAACAAATCTATCTCAAAGGTTAAATATCATACAAACGTATTTAATCTACTGGTTTCTTATGTTTATATCAGATTCTGGTAGTCATATACGGTTCATTTGCAGAGACAAAGAAGTTTTGATTTTCTTTTTCCGATGAGCTTTTAATGAATGTCTTGCGAAATATTCTGACCCGCTTTTTTATTACGCTTTTAATAATAAAACATGAAATAAAGTTAATCTGTAATTAAACAGCACATCCAATAAATCTCCAGTTTATAAAAAACATTGAAAATTACAGTCTTTTGATTTAACTTACTAGTTTATTTATTCTATCATGTTTAGACAAATTATGGGACAATATTGTACAATTTAAATGGATGAAGTCATTTTATTACAGATATTAATGTTAATCAGCTGAAATAAACTGCACACCTATTCGCTTAACTCGTAAAGGCGTGTCCCAAATGACATTTTCCGGAGATTTATGAAACACAGTTTTCGTGTTCTCTACACTAAGAAATAGCTCGCGTATAGTTAGATGTGACATCAAAGTATCCAGGCCGGGAGATTAATTGATGACTTCATATTAGTTTACTAAGGGACAAGATTGAAATGTGTGCTATTTTCAATCTACGTTCATTGTCTGTTCTGATTATTTTCAACATTCCGGTGTTATTATTGCAACACAACTTTTGTTCTCTAGAACGAATTTCAACTGATGTAACGCATATTAGAATGGTATTGTTGTCTTTGTTATTTTCACAGTAAATGAGAAGGATAGCTATATTATTACGGTGGAGACTCCCATATTTTACATTCAGGGTGAATAGAAAGAAACATGAAAGTCTGTATATCGTAATATGCATTTTTTTTTGTTAAAAATCACACAATAAAATAATTGTAGTCAATAGTTTATTTTCTAATGTAATTTTTGTTTATTCACCCTATTTTACGGTGTCACATATCGGTATCATTCTCTTGTCTATGGCTTACAAACATGGCTACCGGTTTCTAATTCTGTGCTTTGTTTTTGTAATAAAAAACAGCGAAGGGTAGAACGGAAACAGTTATTATTATTTTAAGCAATAATAAAACTATTCAATATAATAAGAAACTCAATCACATGAAATAATTTTTTCTTAGTATTCTATCTGATATTAGTTTTCGATTAGTTGTGCTGTGTACTTAGTATAATTAATTGCCTATTTTTTAAAAAATGACCTCATTTTGAATCTCGAAAGAAAATCAGTCCGCTAGTTTTAATGATAAAGAAAGCATAATTTTTATATATTAATGTTTGGACTATTTTTCGACTGGAGACTAGATTCTGAAAACAGATTATAAAATAAAAAAATCTTTATTGTAAATTGTAAAAAATGTTTTTGTAATCTGTCCTTTAAAAAATAGTACAATTTGTTATTTATAATTCAATTTTTTTGCTAACGAATTGAATCAAGATGCATTTTATTTTGATTGTGTTGTGAATATTTTGAAAAAAAAAAATATTTAGTCTCTAGTCGGGAAATAAAAATTAATTGATAAATATGTAAGTTATTATATGTGATTTTTTTTTTAATTATGGCATAGATATAAAATTTTCAATGGTTTGATATCAGTAAGGTCGTATAAGTTAGCTATATTAGAAATTGTATTTCGTTTAATCAAGAATTTTTTTTCCTAAACTATAAAACTGGATATGTTAATCTGAACAGATTGATTAATTTTAAAGAAGTTTCTTTGTGACCTATTTTTTAAATTTTTTAACAAAATTTCTATTTTAGATCCACGTTGGTGCTATATTTTAGCCTAAATTCATTTAATGAAATATTTCTAACACTTCCACTGCCACTGAATACTTGCAAGTTCACTTCACTACACAAAAGTGGCATTGAATGTGTTAACCATTTATTTATAAATTCATGAAGCGACTGAAATTTCGTTTATGTACTTAAGTTTATTTTTATTTTGTATAAACCTTTTAAAAATGGTTTAAAGGTATTTGTATATGGCCTTAAACTTATTTGGCGTTACTGATATCAACCGTTTGTGCTTTCCTATAAAAGAGAAATCATTCAAAATCCTCACTATTCCTAAAACAATTGTTGGTTATTATGAAAAAAAAATGGTTAAATCATACTTAATAGGTTGTAGGATCGGTGTATGCGCCGTTTAGTTACGATACGTATATTTTTTGCAGCTGTATGTTTATTATATTATTGCTATTAACTATAAAGAAAGCGGCCATAAATATAAATAAAATTGTTTTGGAATAATGTGTTTGGGAAATGTCGGTAAGGGCAGAGACTATCCGTGGGTTTATAAAACCAAAATCAACGTTTAAAACATATTGTTATCTCTGTTTTGTCAAAGATGAAAGACAGGGATGGCTATATATTTTATACGGAGATTTTGGTGTCAGAAACCCACGGTAATATAAATATTATGACTATTTGTATCCAGAGATATTTTTAGGGTTCCTTACCTCATAGGAAAAAAACCCTTATAGGATCACTTTGTTTATATTACCTTAATTTTACTTCTAAAACTCTTCAATTGTCTTGTATTAAGACATGTTACTATCTCTATTTTTCAAAGATGATATGACATATAATTTAATAATTAAATATTGTATATCGTCATTTTAAATATAAGAAATCATTTTTTTTAATCCACGAATAACTGTGTGTTTCTGAGACCAATATCCCCATTTAACCCTTAATACGACGATATTTTTTGTAGCAAAAAACTGTTTTTTTTTTTAGTAAAGTCACTTACGTAATTTTCTCTAAACTAGTTCAGTAGATTTTTTTTAATTAATTGTTCGTCACACTGGACACCATCGAATTAAGGATTAAAAGCATATTATCTCTGTTTTGTCGAATATGTAAGATAAAAATAAGGGATTTAATACAGAGATTTTAGTGTCGGAAACCCACAGTAAATCTGTTTTTTTTTTGGAAATACTAAAGAACTATCACTGCCAAGTTAAAATAAGTGTGTTTTTATTCTTTACATATTATTGTTTTCAATGACGTAATTTAATTTTGACCTTGATGTGAAATTCTTGTAGCTACGTTCTGACTCACAACACAATCGCTTGTTCAAAATACACAGTAATTAATTCATTGTTTATATGAAGTTTGTAACCTAAATTGCAAGAGTTGTAAGTCAATGTATGGTCTTGTATGACTCGTGTTCTACAATTATATTGTTCATTATAACTGGGCCAGTTTGACATCTTATATAAATTGTAAAATATACATTTATTATGGGTGATTTGTGCCTTTGTATTTAAATTTAATTAAAAATTGTGTAACTTTCTTAATAACTGGTCTGTAATATTGTTAAGGAAATAGTCTCTGCCCTACTAGAAATTATGGAACGAACAGTGAATCGAAAAATGTCGGTAAAAAAAAAAAGGAAATTGTAATAAGAGAATGATTTGTAAAAATAGAGTTTGGGAAATGATGGATTGGGGTTGGATTCGAAAAGTAAATAATTGTACCTATTAAGTGAACTTCGTAAGGATTATTGTAAATATGTTGTTAACTTAAGCGTAGACCCTGTAGGTATTTATTTTTACGATTTCGGTCCTTTGTTGAAATCCAAAGTTTTAATTTATTTTTCGACCAATAAATGTTGGAGAGAACTATGTTTTTTTCTTTCTACTTTCACTCTACAATAAAACAAAAATAAATGTACACAAACTTTGTTTATCAAGTTAATTAAATAATTTTTAAAGTGCATCATTATTTGATGACAGACAGAGTTTTCCATCAGAGTATAACTAAGTTATTCTATTATGAAAATACACGTGATATGTGACATAAATACTCATTATTATTGCTACATCAAAGCTTGTCACTTCTGTATCACGTGTGTCACCAAGTGACAGTTTTAACACTCTCTGTTACTATATGATTTTGGCTTCAGTTTGTAATTAAATATTGTTTATCACATAAAATACATAGTTTTAGTTATGTAATTAATGACGCAAGAGATAGCTACGTAAATTTTACTACTAGAGAATGAGAAAAGATTACGGAGTAAATATTTATTACTACATAAGAGAAATACAGGATACATGTAGTACAAAAATAGATGGATAACATTTTCGTTTCGTCTATAATGAAAGTTTACGGTAATATTGACCAAAATGTGCGTGTTTCCACTGTCAACATACTTGTACAGGTAGAGACTACAGGGATGTATTAAACTGACAAGGCTATGTGTTCCAGTGGGCATAAGTCAAACTAAATTATGACAGCACACTAGCGCCCTCCTGTGAACGTCAAAAATCACAAGCTCCTCTTTGTACTGTATCTA